GTATTAGCCTATTAGACATTACTCTTCACATAATGTTTTCTTGTAACCAACGTTACTTCACATGCTCAATTTAATACAATTTGAATAATTTAATCAAATCATACATGTTTGTAAATATGTAGGCTTGAAATAAAAAAAAAAAGCATTTTATTCATATTCAATACACATATTTTGATTAATAAATAAATGGATACATTGTGTTCAAACAGGTAGATAAAAAAAAAGTTGTAGTGAAGTAGAAATTATTTCTAAAATTTGAAAATCAATATACTTTACTACAATTTATTTGATACATGTTATTACCACTAATTAAATATATATATATATATATATATATATATATATTTATATGTTTGATTCAGAATGGTTCACAGTGAGAGTTAAACATTAAGAATTAGTAAATAGTGAACTCAACTTTAAATGTTTAGTTTTAAGTAGTATATCAGATATATAATTGATATTCTTTGAATAATTATTTATAACTGAATTTATGATTCTGACAATTCAAAATAAGAGAATATATATAGTAACATAGAAGTTCAGTATCTGGTTATTGATGAAAAGATGAATTCCTTACTACTTTCTTATGAAAGATTTAAAATTTGGTATAATGCACTTTGTAACGAAAATATAATCAAGAAAACAAAGATAATAGGGAGAAGCTGGTATTCTGTCAAAAAAGGAAAAAAAAACAACAGTGTATAAATTTACTAAAGGAAACAGCAACAACAATTTCGCCTATAATTGACTGACATACATTTTGTGCTTCACTAATTCTGATATGATTCTAAATACTTATTGGTTAATAAACACAAATAAACTATGATTGTGAGAATTGTGAGGAGTGGGGAATAAATGCTATGATACGTGAGAGAATCCGTTTTCGAACTAACTAACTAACAGATTGAAAATCACGGATAGAAATTTAGTTCATCTCTACTTCACCTGTCATTCATTCGTAGTTTACATCATGGGTTAAATGTAGTGAAACAATGAATAAACATGTGAAACCGTAGGAGAGTTGTTTTTCCCAGTATCAAACTCTCAGTGGTGTATACACCTAATCGCACTACAGATCAAACTAAATGAATCACACTTCTAGGTAATCTTTGTCAGGAGATCCAATGATTTTAGTATGACATTGTCGACGAGATAATATACCTTCGAACTGATTATTAACAGTGTCTGAAATCACTCAAGTCTGCGAATTTGTTCACTAGATCTTGAGTGGGAATCGTCAATATGGAAATGAAATGTTTTACTCTGAACTTCGTCTCCTTAGAAATTATTTACATGCATTTTTGTATTAGATGTTGATCGGTTGTTGTGGGGCAAGTAATAATATGTTGTTAAATTTAGTAATTATTGTGTCGATAAACTGTTTGAGATGAAGCAACCGGTCCTTGTTTGAATCAATATGAAGATGAATTTAAAGTTAGCTACTGTGAGCAATCGAAAAAATGTTTAATTTAAAAATGGCAAGTAACTCCTCTGAATAGTGTTAGCAGAAATCGTTAAGTGAACCAGTAAATTATATAAGCCGATACAAATTGCCGTTATAATAGTGTTGGACTTATCATAATTCGGATTTTTTTGAATGGATACTTTAATTCTGATCAATTTAATGAATATTTATTACTCTATATGGTACAACATGCTGCAAAAGTAAAAGTTTTTGTAGTCATATTGTGATTCAGAGTGATCTGAAATGCAATAAAGCAAGTTGGAGACCCGTTGGATTTAGATCAAAATGTCTCACCAAGAAATAAGTTTGAGTTTCATCAAGGAAGGTTTTTGATAATTATAAACAGTTTCTTTCATTTAATAATGACAAGGTTATCCCATTCAAATTAAATTAATAACAATCTGAAAGTTTATATTTATACTTCTGAATCAACAGTTGATTGATCGTGCACTCAATGTTAACAGAGCTAATTAAATAAAGAAACAATGATGGAAAAAACAATTCAAGTAAAAGTTAAGTGCTATGGTTTCTACATTATCATAAAATGTATTATTTTTAATGAAACCGGTTCAAGAATTTGTATATTTCATTTTTAATATTCCAATAGAATTCATGTTTGTAAGTTATCAGCTTATTGCATACATCTAGCCGGATACACAGTAAGAATCTTTCACAAAAAGGTATCTGCATTAGTTTTTGTACTGAAGTTCTACACGTGACTCATCCTTTAGATTCAATAGGGTTCGAAAAATAAAAGTAAAAACAATATTAGTTCATTATGCCTTACTATAATCGTTGTTAAAATTAATCAAACAATATAACCAATATATATTTACTCAATGAAACTGCACTGTGTTTAAAATATATCCAGTGAATGTTATCACGTCTCAAGTTTTATTTTATACGAAGTTTAAAACATTGTGAGACAGTTTGCTACAGGGAAACATAAAAAGGTAAGCTAATCAATGAAACATAACTTACATTCTAGCAAAGAGCTTTACAACCTTTAATTTTTCTTCACACTGTTTATGTGAATTAGAAAATTGGTGAAGTTCACTTTTGATAGTGAATGTATCCAGTATGATACGTTCTTCAGGTTATTCATATAGTTCTCTAGGCATGAGTTTTCTAGAGTGAAATTTTTCATGCACATGTTTTTTAAAAACAGTTTAACAATGTCAACACTTGTTTATACAAGCTTTCAAACCTATATCATTTAGGTTGTTTCCTAAAACTCTACTAATTTGCATAGAGACTGAACTCGTATAGAATATTTTATTTATGGCATCTGAGCAACAAACGACACCTAACGTGTTGAGCGCTTTTTATTCACAATTGATCGATTTTTACAACAGCATGTTACTCGTCCTTGTAGTTTTACTACAAATGATAAGTATAAATATATTTAACCAAATTTAAAGGTTAATACATCACACTAACTTTCGTCTGAAAACTATGTATATAATTATAAACAAACCAACTGGTTAGTGGTAATGTCTTCAACTAAGATATTGATCAGAGTTAACTGGAATTGCATTTTGTTAAACTAAGAGTGTTGGGTACACAGTGATGAACATATAAAAATCAACTTTACAATGTAATCTTAGTAAGAATCATGTCAATCCTTAAACTTCAATCGCATACATCCACAGATTTTTACTTGACCAATAACACTTAATAATTTGTTAGCTTTTTTCTTGAAAAGCACAGGTTTATCAACAATGTCAAATAATATTACAAGAGAGATTTAAATGGTTTTTCTCTAAATCTATAAAGTGATGAAATTTAATTAACTAGAAATAACTTTCTTGCTCATGGAAGGCAAAAAAAAACAGTCTCAAAAGATAATCAGGACGATTTAAAAAAGTCAACAAAATTGTTTATTTTTCTATTCTGTCATTTATATATTCTACATAAATTCAAATACAGTTATTCTATTTAGTAGGAAAACAATTCCATTTAATTTGTAATATATAACAAAAAGTATAAATAGTTTATAAAAAGAGTATTAAGAATGAGATTTCACTTCAGTCTGTCTTTTATCTAAACAATACACAATGAAACAACACCAGGATAAGAAATTTAGAAAATAAACCAAAAACAAAATAAAAGAAAACAAAAATAATAGATCGATTAAAATAGGAAAAGAGAAAATACAATAATTGAGATTAAAGTAATGAAAAAAAATATTTGTTTTTATATTTCCCATCATTTCACTGTAAAATAGTATCAAGTATCATATTCGTTATAAATACTTAGTGATACAGAGATAGACAACATTCTTATGGTTCCTTCTATTTAACCAGTTTAATCAAATATAAGTACACAGGATAGTTTAAATGATTAATCAATTGATTATCTTCAAGTTTACATACAAGAAGTTTACATGTTGATTGCATCTTTACATGTATTTTCAACTTCTTTTATTGATAATAATTTTAAAAGGAAGAATGAAAATCACTAATTAAAGAAATTAATAAAGTTTTACCATTTTGATTCATCAACATATATAAGTATTGCCAATAAAAAATAATAATAATAATATATTCATTATGAAGTTTGATTCATAGAATAACCCAATAGAAAAGATAATATTACAGATGAAAGAGACTTTTCTTTTAGAAAATATACAATAAAATCAACTAATAATAACAATAATCATAAAAAGTTAAACCACAAGAAAGAACCTGAAAGAGAAAAATAAAGTTAAAAATAAACTAATAAATGTATTGCAAATAAATGATGAATTAATCAAGGAATTAGGTGTTTAATTAGGTCAGTTAACTAAATGAATCACAATATTATGTATAATAATATTTTTTTTAATAAAAAAAAGCACATTTAATCGATAGATTGATTAATCAATCGATCTATCAATCGCACAACCAATCAGAGAATAATCATTATTTCACAGCCAATCATCATGTAATACAATAAATTAGTTTAATTATATGTATGTAATTTGTATAATAATGAATAGAAATTTGAACAATAGAAATGATTAATAATTTATTGAAATATCCAGTAAATTGAATGGAAATAAACATACATGAAACAATCAAATTTAATTAAAACAATAGAAATTAGGTTTTCTTTTCTAATTGATTTGAAAATAAAACAATGATTGAAAAAAACAAAAAAAAACAAACAAACAATAAGTTAAAATAAGAAACATGATATTAGGCAGTGCAAATAATACCAACAGTAGAAAGACATGTGATATAAGTTTATATTTAAGTTAAAAATGGGTTCATTACTATATTATTATTATTATAGCAACATCTTACATCGTACAAATAATCAGTGAAGTTGAACCAAAGTAGTGAAAAGTTATTGATAATATATTTTGAGAGGGAATAAAATGTATAAGAGAAACAGTAACATGATGATGTGATGCTAAAGACTACAAAAAATAATCCATTTTAACGTGTATTCCATCCGAAATTATTATAAAGAAAATAATATAAACAAACAGAAAATGAAATAAAAAATTTTTACAGTTAAAAAAACAAACGAATGAATGAATGAATGAAGAATAAAATGAAAATGAATTATACATTATTTATTTTTTTTACAAAATGTTGCAAGTTCGTGTAGAGTTTTCACCATTTTTTATAGATTTTTGATCTCTCAAATCAACAGTTGTTAATTCTTTATGTGATACACTAGCTGGTCGTGGTTTATTTTTACCGGTACTACAAGAACCATTACGTTTAACTCGACCTCGTTTATTTTTATATTTTTGATCAGGTAAGGTAGGATCTTTCTTGTATTGTAAACCTTTACTACGAAGAATACGATAAATACCAGTTAGTTTGTTTTTAGGGCCTTCACTCAATGCTTTATCTAATTCATAAGAGTCTACATCCCACCATTTTTTCAATAGATACCGAGCAGATGCATCATCAATCTCATCAGGAGTTGGATCTTTATGCTTCATTAGATGCTGCCAGTCAATATCATTGAACCATTTGGAACTTTTCGCCTGAGATACGGTATATCTGCGTTCAACATTAGTCGCCAATAATCCTGAGATTAATGTTTGACAATCATTTGAAACATAGGCTGGGATTCGGTAATCACCTGATAGGATTAAACGTTTAATTTTGTGTAAACTATCCGCTTTAAAAGGCAAACTTCCAGTCACCATATAAAATAAGAGAACACCAAGAGCCCAAAGATCCACAGCTGGTCCTGTGTAAGAATCCGCAACAAATAACTCAGGAGCAGCGTATGGCGGAGAGCCACAGAACGTTGTCAAGGCAGCATCTGGAGCCACACATTTAGAAAAGCCAAAATCACCAAGTTTAACATACATGTTGCTGACGATGAAAACATTCTCCGCCTTTAGATCTCGATGGACCACACCATTATTGTGCTGTATTTTCATCAAAATGAAAGAAAAATACAATTTATCAAAATGATGTATTGATAATTAATGATGAAACTTTATTTATCACTCAGTCAAATGTTATGTATGACGTCAGGAAAAGTTAATTTTAAATCGATAACCGCTATTTCAATTAGCACTTATCATAAGGTGATGAATTATTAAGAATAGTTTTGCATAGTTAAGTTATTAACCTTGTCATTTTCCAGTGTAATATGATTACTGTGAAATGCTAGAAAACATTTTAAAAATACAACAATCTGTTAAGAGCATGTCTTAAAAACGGCTGTTTCATAGCTAATAAAGTTTTTTTTCTCATTGAACACTTTTAAAATCATTTGATCAAAAACGCCTAATCGGAATATATGTATGCATAAGAATAAAACAATCACTTCAAGCAATAAACTGCATATTGGATTATTAATCAACTAGCTAATATCATGTAGTAAGAATAGTTATGAAGCGGGACTTGGAGTTATCAAAGTAAGACAAAACCATGTGGTTACATAAGCTGATACAAACAGAATTACATTCACAGTATCTGTAGCTTAGACGTGTGTGTGAGCGTAATCCATAAGATAAGGAATCTGAAGAAACTAATATCGGTTGGTGATAAACAGCTTTGAAATTTTGAGAGCAGAAAAAAAAAAAGCACAGTATTTATGCGTGGTTTGAAATTAGGGTAAAACTACACAATGGAGATTAAAGATGACAGAAGTGTAAAATGTATTGACAGCATAAGTGATAAGTTGATAGCGGAGACTAAAAACAATTTGTGCCAACTCTAAACAAAATAATGAAAATCTAAAAAGGCTAATGGATATTCGTATAAAAAAATGTTTGCACATGGAGCTTATCAATATTTTTCAATAAATTAAATAGTTGATTTTAATTTAATTGTACCAAAATTTGAATTTCTATGGCAAATATAATTATTCGCAGATATTTCATCAAGTTGATTAATATTTCTTTATTAAACACTAAAGATCAAGTGAATGAATGCTCGTTGTTGAGTAGTTTATATATAGAAATATAAATGGAGAGAGGATGCAATATATTAGTCGGTTGAAGTTGACTGTAAATTTTTTTTGGAGACTCAAAAATTTCCGATAAAGTAACCTTGATTGAAACGATTTTACTAGAAGAGAACATTGGTTGGTTAAACCTTCATGGTGGATCTGTGAACCAAAATTTTAGAGTTTTACAACCCTTAATTAAGACATCAAACTTTTAATTATAATCTAAATACTTAACTGCGATCATTCAATCTAATATTCTTAAGATGTTAGAAAAACCTTCGGTTATTACTCATCATGTTGTTTTAATCAGTTGGAAAAAAAAGCAAATTTTTCTTGTTGATCAGTGCTCCAATGGTCTTCATTTTGACTAGTAACATTAGTACCTTTTAAACATTAAACAACAAACTTTTTTTGAACATTATTCACTTTGATTACTCTAAAATTTTCATCAACAAAATATCTACTTAATTTGTCATGCGAAAACGTGTACTAATTTGATCAAGATTTCCGTGGAATTGGAAAAATTTCAAAGAAAATTAATGAAATGTTAAGGATCGTTGAAGAACGTTACTCAACGAAAAAACGACTTTTTGAATGTATCAAGCATTTCAGCAAGGGCCACGTAAAGTGTAAGAACCGCTCAAAACGAGCAGGACTGCTGACCTACTCTACTGATCAAATTATTTTATTTGTGTGGCTTCTTGTTCACCCCGACGGTTTGCTCACTGTCAAAATTTTGGATCAGCTGAATTCGGCGAAATCATTTTTACACATGATTCTGGTGGACTTTCGACTTCAGGAATAACAAAGAACTATAAGGCAGCTGAAAATCTGGAGTCGGAAAGACTTGAAGGAATGTGTCGAACAACGTATGCTGAAATCAAACAAGTGTAATGCAATGAATGAGAAATATTTTGACATGAATAACATCTGTGTCCTAATGTTTTGAAATTAGTTTTAGAAACCTTAAATTGTGTGCTTGTCAGGCAAATTATATATTTAACACGTTCTCATGACTTAATTGTGTCTCAGTTTTTTGCGAAGTCTTGAACTTTGTAGATTGGATATATATACCTACACAGATGTAGTGAAATGATAACTAAATCGATTTTTAAGGAGGTAAGTTTCGTTTATTATTGTTCATGATACATGTCTAACCAAACGGATCGAAATTATTATTCATATCTGTGGAATTGTATTAATATTTTAAAGGAGTATTCAAGACACTAGCATAAGATAATCATCTAAAAGGGTCAAGTAATTAGACTAGCCAGTGTCGAAGTAGTCATATTTTCGACTATGTAAAAGATTTCCGTCTAATTTTCTCATTTACTTGCTTTTTCCTATTTGTCTTCATCTGGTAGCTAGAGATATTCGTCAAGTTTGTTCCAAACATCTATACTAAAAAAGATTTAGTTACCAGGGTTTCATAATCGGACTAAACTATCTAGATTTCGGTCTTCATTAAGGTAAGCTATTTCCTGTCAAGTGTTTTGAATATAATTTTCAAAAGCTCATAGCTATTCTTTGAAGCCTCTACACTAAAAAAATTCAAAAGATGTTCAGCTTGGTAGACCTTATGGACTTCGCAGATTAAAAGACCATAGGTTCGAATGTTTCATATATGCTAATAAATGTGTGAATTTGACATTTCGAAATACATTATGAATAAAATGTTAAACGCTACCGCAAAATTCTACAGATAAATATATAAACTAACAGCCAGCCAAAGAGACTTTCATATTAGTGAACATTTATATAAATAGATTAAGAATCGGGTCATTTAGAAAGTTTATAAAGGTTGTCGATAACAATATTTTACAATGTTTTTATTAATGTCTAACAATTTTCTACAATACTCCAAGTTTCTAAGTAAGCATGCAAATGATGTACAGAAAAGTTGATTTTGGTTGATGCGTTTTTCAGAATAATTGAGCATAAGATCGAAAAATCTTTCATGAGAAGCGTATAGATGAGATGTATAATATACATGCATCATTAATTAATTGACTATAAAATAAACATGATTATAGTGTTTACAAAAATCTCAAGTTGTTCTAAACAGATTAGAAAATCAGGTGTCTTCAGTATTTCTCATTTATTTTTTTTAGATAAGATCATAGTGAAAAGGATTAATAGGCTCGAAAGATGCTCTCTCTCTCTCTCTCTCTCTCTCTCTCTCTTATATATATATATATATATATATATATATATATATAAAGTATTTGTTTTAAGCTATCTTAACTGTGTTATTTTATTGACATATATATGTTAACATGAAACAACGTATATATTTTCATAAGAAGACTGAAATGCATGTTTTTTCATAAAATAAAAAAACCTGTTAGATATTTTTTAACAGAAAAAACTCAAATTAAAATGAATTGATCTCCGTAAATGCATATTTTGATAATGTAAATAATTTTTGTGCAATGTGGTAGATCATTTATTTAATACTTCTATTCCAGGTTAGTTGCCAAGTTTAACAGTTAAAAGAAATGTGATTAAGCACCTTACACAAAAGGAAAAGAAATTTCATCTACATTCACGTTAATTTCATTCATATGATTTCGTGCATTTGCATTTGAAACGCCATTTTTCAGTTTCCAAGTCTAACTTTTCTTAATTTCTATATATTCTTTACCGGATTTCATTTTCAAAAAATCACTTATCCTCTAAGCAAAAAACCATTTTACCTCATCCTTGTTAATCACATTTTTCGGTAGGTTATAAATTTTAAAATACTATAAATGAGAAACAGGAAAGTCACGGTATATTTGAATAATATATTTGTTTTAAACTCTCTAACACTAAAGAATTAATAACATACGTATATGTGTCTATCTGTTTAAGTGGATCATATTTTGTAAATGAAACATTTTATTGATGAGTGTAACTGACCTCATTTTCTGTTTCATATATATATACACTATTCTCATTAATTTTCATAGTTATAAAAAAAGTGAAAATAAAACTTTTCATAGATCAATAACTTTTTGTTTTCAGTTGAAGCACACTGAAATTTAATTTGTTACCCAATATAATAATAGGCTTGAATATAGAAAATCGGAGTATAAATTGCGTATCTACATGTCAGGTTATGTAAACTTCAGTGTTTATTTAAGATTTATCGGTAAATAAAAACAACAATGAGCATTCAACGTTGTTCATAGACATTATTACGTATTTTATTTAAATTTTTAGATGAAAAGATCACTATATGCTTCCAAATGTATGAGCAAACCATACGGTTTGTTTTAGAATGCTAATATTTATGTATATATTAATCGATACGAAATAAATAAGTTGATAGAAACTAATAAGTTATGTAAGAAAAGACCTCGTTATAATGGTATGTATTAGATTAGAATTTCAAGCGTGGGAAGTGAAACATATCTCATCATAAACGTATACAGTTCCTTTGTTGGATGCCGAACTAAACTGAAGTATGCAAGATAAACTTCACTAAACATGGCAACTTTAAAATTAATTATCTAAAAACGTTATCAGAGAAAGCATAAATCACTTGTATTAACTCTAAATAGTGAAACACCTGTTAGCATTTATATAAACTTCCAGATGGTTTGGTCATGTAATACCCAAGCGTAACCATAGTCTAATTCAACCTTGCATATTTATTAGTTTAGTAGTAAGCTAAAGAAAAAATAAAACCATGAAATGAAGACATAGATAAGTTCGTGAAGTCACTTAGTATCAAATTGAGACCCATTGATAACTAAGAGTTGATGACGTTGCTTAGAGTGATAGTTACAGCTCCTCAATTAAACCGTGTACATAGGAAAATCTAAGAATAACAAAAGCATCCATATAAGCTATAAATGTTCTACATTATTCAAACATTTCTGGGTTTAAACTTGCAATTTTCGATCCGGGGGGGGGTGATTGTGATCTATAACTGAATACGATGGATGACATATCACAAAAATAACCACATGTTTATATTTACTC